AAATTAAACCAGCACTGAAATGCCTAGGGAAAATCTGATAAAGTGCAAAGAGAGCCCGAGGGAAAAGACCAAAAAGCAGAACCAAGATGTGAATGATCTCTAGGCAATTAGGCCAGGGAACTAGGCATAAATTTGCTGTCTGAAGAGGTTGTAAAGAGAGTCACCAAGTAAACATATATCTGTATATGCACGCACCTCTTTCTGCCTAAGCATCTGAGATACTGTGAGGAACTCCCAGTATCCCTATAATAAGGTTTTTGAGGGAATCCATAGAAAAGAAATAGTAGTAGCACTGAAGATCTGAATTACTTTTCTGCTTACTGTTCCGAGTGCAGTATCTCCCTCACATCAGAATCGAGGATCACAGATCATTTCAAATAAGGACAGTGATCTCTTCAAACAGTACCCAGTTAACTTAAAAAAAAAAAAAAAAAAGCCAATCTACAATTATTTCAGCTACCTGATGGCCCACTAACAACAGTGACCATCAGAAGTTTATTGACCTACAACAATATGGTAGCTACAAGAAACACAGAGAGGGGAAAGACTCCAAATTCAATAGCACAAAGAGATGCAAGGCCAGCCCAAAACGACCCAGTTGTACAGTAACATACCTGGTATATGAATTCATCAATGATATCCCAGAGCCACTGGTTGGGCAGTTCCAGAGGAGCTGGACCATCAGCATCTGCAGAGGAACACAAATAACAGATGAGAGGTAAAATACATCCCATCTGGAGCAAGAATAAAAGGAGGTGATGTGGGAGGTGATGTGTAGCTCCAGCTACCTCTTCTAAAGTAGTRAAGCAGTAAATACAGGGGGCTAATCTCTGGAGTGGGACTGCCCAGCAGCACCAACTCTCAGAAGCTGCACAGATTGTAACGGGTTATCCTCACTGAACTGTTCTCTGTGAGAAAAGTGCCAGGAAATCAACAACATTTACATCTGTCCCAAAGGGAGTCTGTAACTGTAAATAGCTGTGAAATGCTGCAGCAGATATTTCCTAACTTACATCCTCATTTTCTGTTTTAATAAAGATAAGTAAAGTATTTCCTTTTGCCAACCCTCATCAAGACAGAAAGCTGTAAGTTTATTTTTAAAAGYATTACAGAAAATACTGGAAGTATTTGGATTTTTTGTTTTTTTTGTGATTTTAAAACCCAGATGTTAAGTGCTCTTCCTTCAACAACTTCAAAATACAGAAGGCTGAGACTGCTTCCCCCTATATGATTTATAAATTAACATAATCTATAAATTACAGTACTTCTTTTCCCCCCCCCTCTCCATTCTGCACAACTTTCCTCTCCAAAATTCACAAACTGGGGATGAATTGCAGTGACTCACTGAGTATGTAGTTGAAGAGATTGCAGTAGTTGTAATAGGACTCAAATCTCTGCTCCAGAGTGGGTCCCCCCTGCAATGAGAAGACAACCTGTTTAGTTTCAGACACAGCAGAAATTAATTCATGGGCAACAGCACATAAAGGACAGACACCAGCCACACAAGTAGATATTCTTTTCCACTAATGCTAGAGCCAATATCCTGATTTCCAGGCCCATCAGCACCATGCAGAAAACTTGAGATAATATCACTCATGTCCAGTGGGAAAGATCCACTTGCTGGCAGCTCCCCCTAATGCTCAAACATTCAGACCTCCTGTGAATGGGAGGCCTCATCTTTCCTTGTCCTCCTCACTGCTCTCCACACTCTAAAACTTATTACTTTCCACAGCTTTCTGTCCTTGTCTCCTTGTGAGAGGTCTTAACAAGCCATGACAATTCTGCTTCTAGACAATAATTCTGAACACCCTGAAAGATAAATAAATGTATTAAGAAATCACCCTTTCCAGGGCAGTCTTCCTTTTTTCACTTGGAGACACTTGAGAGCAGTCTGAGAACTATTAGCCACCCAGCTCCAGAAACCAGTTTCTCCTGTTAAAGCCTCCTTCAGACTCAGGTTAACAGAGCAGCCTTTTTGAAGTCCGCATTCCTCCACCCTCTGGTCCAAAACTGCAGTTATTACTCATCTATCCCATAAATCGCACACCATTCATCATATTTTCTCAAATAACCATGAACTACTTTGATTTTCCCATTGTCTCAAATTAGCTTAAAAAATAGCTTTAAAAAATTCTTAAATTATTATTCTGATTGTTTCTTGTAGGGTGCCCACATTTACCTCTCCAAAAGGCATGCTGAAGCAATGCTTTGTACTCACACATAACAGCCTTCTCTTGCAGCACCCCTGTCTCACTCAACTACTGCTCTCAAGCACATTTAAAAAAAGTCACAACATGACAAAATCTGATCCACACGTCCTGCAATTACAGCTCTACACAGAAGAAAACTCACTTATCTTCCAACGTTTCTTTCTTCCCTAACTCACTAACCACAAGAGCCACTCTTAGCGGTGTAAAACTTTTCTATAAGAACCTCCTCACAACACAGGCCAGGTTTTCTTATTGATATAAGCTATCAGGGAAGCCTTTATGCTCTTCTCAGCCAAGCTTGAGGAGATGCACAACAAGCCTCAGAAAGCCAGTTGTCTTGCTTTTCAATAGCCAGTGAATTCTTACTAAATCAACAATTTGCAAGAACTTTAAGCTTCCCTAAAGACAACTTGACAATACAGCTCACGAGCATAACCAATCTTGTTCTGCAAAATTTATAGCATCACTGATGTTGAAACAKCAGCAGGGACTGGCACGTTTTATAGTAACGAGAGAGCAGAATATTAGCAACGTGCAGAAAAAAAAAAAAAAGACAAACACTCACGCTGACTTTAGCATAGATGTGTCTGTAATAGAGTTCCTTGTACAGGATCAGGAAAACAGCATCTGGAAAAGATGACAGAATGGATCAYGAGCAAGGCAGAAGGCCCAGGCAAGTGGCTATCTCAAATGCACTGATGCTATTCCCATTGCTACAGGGAGAAAGGCGGGAAAAGACATTTCTTTCAGTTGTGACTTCTTGCCAAGCGTTTATTTAAGTTGCTACAGTAACAAAAACCCTGGCTCTGGGGGCAGCAACATTGTACACCCACCTGCTCTCTCATACATCAAATGGGATCCACGTTCCTTCAAAGAGTGGAAGGGAAGGAAAAGAAGCACTTACCATTTCCAACCTGCGGGGCAATAGCTTCTGCCTCTGGCCATGGAGTATTCTTAAAAAACCTTTCGGTCAGCTTTGTCCAGCTACATGACAGAAACATTTGGCATTAAAAAACATTTCTCGTTGTCAGCGAGATAGAGGTTGCAACATGGAGGACTTGATGGGGAAAAAAATCGTTCTCTTTTACCAAGTGCAGTGTTCAAACAAAGAGCAAGAACGAACTGCTTAAAATTAAAGCCTTTAGATTATGCCTGAAGCACCGAACTGTCACGCAAGCTACTTCCACATACACTTTATGATATGTCAGCACAGACTCAGAGTATCTATAAAACACAGACACAAAGATGTCACCCAAAGGCTTCCCATAAGCCTTGCTAACTAGTGCTCCTGGGGCCGCTTCTTGCAGCCCGCCCCTCGGAACAGGAGGGATAACCTCTCCTAGAAAGGTCACTACTCACCCGGACCTGCGCTACCCCTCTTGCTCACCCCAGAAGCACGAACTCTTTCTCGGGATCAGCCCGACGCTCGGGCTGTCGGGCCAGCTGACCCCCAGCAAGTGGGTGCTGCCTCGAAGGGCCGCCCGGCTCCTCCGCAGCCCAAGGGGCAGCACCCTGGGGCGGGGGTGGCGGCGCCCCACCTGTTCTCGTAGATGTCCTGGATCTCGTAGACCTTCTGGTCGATGACGTCGCTGGAGACGCGGCTGGCCTGCAGCTCGTACACCTTCTGGTCGATGAGGTCCGAGACGGTCTTGTGGAAGTACTGGATGAAGTTCTTGATCACCTCGGGGATCACCTGGTAGGTCTGCTGCTCGTACTGCCGCTCGTAGGCCAGGTCCTGCTTGGGGTCTCCTGCGGGGGCACAAGGGCCGTGAGGCGGCGGCGGGGCCCGCTGCCCGCGGGGAGGCCCCGCGCCGGCCCTTACCCGTGTGCATGTCATAGTCGTTCGAGTAGGCGTACGGGTCGTAGGCGGCCTGCGGGGCGAGACAGAGACAAGGGGGGCGGCGCGTGAGCGCGGCGGGGGCGCGGGGGGA